TAATTTTCTTTCAAATTCCCCTTCAAAAAAAAGCGTAAAAAATACAATCATCGTTGACCAATAACAATCATGAATTTCAAACGGTGGTCTTAGGTGCCCAACGAAAACCGCTTTAGCGTGTCCAGCTACGAAAGTTTGTATAACAGAACCCCGATAATTTGATTCTCTTCCGCACTGTGACGCACAGATAACATACACCATTTTCACGCAAGCGAACGAACGTGTTAAAAGTTAAACAAAAGAGGTGAGCTTGCGAATTTTTATGGGATATACTGTAGTATCTGCCTTGAAGATTTTTCTTCTATTCATTCAAAGTAATGTTAAGCACCGTTGAATGCATTTTAGGTCCTGCCGTATGAATCAATATTGTATACTAGTTGAATCGCAAATATAATACCTCTATCTTCGCCAATATTTTTAACATAATTCGTTTCCGATAATTATGGATAACGGCTGGTTTGACATAACGTCGTTTTTGAAAAGAAACAATTAAATTAGTGGAAAACGTATTTTCCACGTCTCAAGTTAGCCGCATTTTTCTTTGAAACACATCCCACGTTCTCCCCGTCACCCACTCACGCTCACTGATGCGTCATGCACGGCGCTCTCAGCACACCTGCGGGCCTTTGTACACGTACACTCGCGTGTGCGTTTCTGGAACGGACATGTGTTCTTGTCTGTAGCGTGTGTACACGTACACGTACTCTCGTGTGTGTGTCTGGAACGTGTGTACACGTACACGTACTCTCGTGTGCATGTCTGGAATGGACATGTGTTCTTGTCTGTAGCGTGTGTACACGTACACGTACTCTCGTGTATGTGTCTGGAACGTGTGTACACGTATACGTACTCTCGTGTGCGTGTCTGGAACCGTTTGTGCACGTGCTCTCGTGTGTGTGTCTGGAGCGTGTGTACACGTACACGTACTCTCGTGTGCGTGTCTGGAGCGGGCACGTGTGCACATTGCTGGATGGGAGAGGCTCCCTGAAATGTCCGAGCCTGAACTTTGCTCCGGCCCGAGACCGCTGGGATGTAACGTCGTAGGATAACGCAGTCGCTCCTTCAATCGGCATCAATTATACATCGGACCAATATGATTATGTTGAATTTATCATCTCAACAAAAATATTTGTAACTTATGGAACGGAAATAGTCACATATAATTTGTTTAGTTTCATGATTCCAATATGCGGTGGTTTTTCATTTTACCTCATTATATTATGGAGATCAATCAATGTTTGATGATGTACTAAAGAACATAGATTAGAAAAGATCGCATGAAAGTATCATTCTTTACTCTACACGCAATGTATCATCTGTTCAATTTTGCAAGCTGATGGTGTTATTTATAGTTGAAGCGGTAAATTAAATAAAATATAAAATTTTAACAATAGTATTTGCATAGCTGACTATTGCTTAAAATTTTGCTTCCTGGGGAAACGATAGCTTCAAATTCAGTGACAGGACAGTGAACGGTAGAAGTTTCCGGTAGAATTAGCAGTAACAACTTCCTTGTGTACATGACAATGAAAATTATTTAATCGAATTGAGCATAATGGCAACTAAGCGGGTCTTTACGTGGTTGCGGAGCGGCGCGGGTTGCAGCAGTTCAGAGGACCGTGCGGGTCTTGACGCGGTTGTAGCGGCGCGGGTTGCANCCGTGCGGGTCTGACGCGGTTGTAGCGGCGCGGGTTGCAGGGGTTCATAGAACCGAGCGGGTCTTGACGCGGTTGTGGCGGCGCGGGTTGCAGGGGTTCAGACAATCGTGCGGGTCTGACGCGGTTGTAGCGGCGCGCGGTTGCAGGGGTTCAGACAACCGTGCGGGTCTTGACGCGGTTGGAGCGGCGCGCGGTTGCAGGGGTTCAGACAACCGTGCGGGTCTTGACGCGGTTGGAGCGGCGCGGGTTGCAGGGGTTCAGACAACCGTGTGGGTCTTGACGCGGTTGTAGCGGCGCGGGTTGCAGCAGTTCAGAGGACCGTGTGGGTCTTGACGCGGTTGTAGCGGTGCGGGTTGCAGCGACGTTGGTGCGCCTGAGGCTCCAGGAAGCCTCGTCGCCCCAGGGCGCGGCAGGTGAGCTTCTCCACGTCCCGCCTCCTCCAGCTTTACGAGCCTTCCCTATTTTAATGGCGAATTGAGACTTGTCCTTTGGTGCACCCTATTTGAGGCTTTAATGAGAGTGGAATGGGTTTCGTCGTCGAGAAAAGTTACAGTCGGATATTTAAAAAGTTTAACTTCAGTTTCAACTCCGGGTAAATGATGATTAGAAAATTCGTTCATCATGTGGGAATGCGGTAATGTTTTCTCATGGTTCAGAACGTGGCAATAAGAATTTTCTTGCGTAATAAGTAATATTTTCCGGTTTTCACGTATAATAAATAAACTAAATAAAATAAATAAAATAAAATATGCGGATTGGTCTCACTGCCAAGCCGACCCTAACCAAAGATATTTCGCATCTTAAATCTCATTTGAACTAGAAGTTATCATGCCTCAAAATAAACTCACCGTTAAGACTTTTGCGGGAAATACGAAAACAGCGCATGCAAAAAGCATGCAGTTAATAATAATCTAGTATCTAATATAAAAGTCGTCAATTAATTAAGCAGCTCCTGTTATTTTGTGGATTCTAATTCACAATATCTTGTTGTTCTTTTTTTTTAACGTCAACAGCATCTTGTCTATTCTAAAACGCAATTAAATCATCTCGAATCAAGGATTCCACAGTGAATTTTTCTATCACATTTTGTAGAATCGAGAAAATGCCACTCCTATATGCCTCATAGCCATTGTCCTAGCAAGGGGGTGGGTCCAAAACGAGTTTTTCTGTTTCAAAGGACGAAACATTAATGTACTTACCGTTCCATAGGAACGGTCATGGTCGCCGATATGGATATCTCGGCTGGCTCATTTGAGAGCTGGCGAAGAAAGCAGTTAAGTTTATGCTCGTTTTATGACCACTCGTTGAGTGCGTCACCGCAAAGACTTTTCACTGCGCAGACGTTAGGATCGATTATTGAGTGTCGCTCCCTCACGCAAGTATCATTTGCATATATGTTTTAGCAGTTATTGCTATCTCTAAAGTTCTTAAGTTACAATAGTATTATTGTTCGCGCTGAAATTATTCAAAGTTTTACATGATATTAAATTATTAAGCCACTACAAAAGTTTTTCTACTTGACTCAGAGCTAAGTTACTAATGAAGCAAGGCTGTGTATTGATGAGATGAATGATCATAAAACCGTGAATGAATGGGATAAAGCATAATTCATCTTTTAGTTTTGCATTTGATTTGTGGCGATCACTGATGTCTTGCTTCCATGAATAAAACGAGTGAACCATTGAGATTTATTTTTAACCATTAATAACATGTGAATGATTTTTTAATAAAAAATAATTCATGAATAATATATTTTTTATTTTTATTTTTGGTAATTATTCATTATTAATATTTTTGTACCAATTAAGTAATAACCATTGAGAGTTCTTTTTTAAATGTTCGTTTAAAGCTATTAAGTAATACTTAAGAGTTTTAATACTAATAAATGATATGTAATAGTATTAAATTCTAAATTTATTTAAATCACTTCCGTTTTTGATGACATTACATAGATGAACGAAAGTAAGAACTTACAAGGCAGTGCAGCAGTTTTATTTAATGGTAATGTACTTAATTAGAGCTGCTAAAATCGATGTAAGAAAAAGACCAATTCAAATAAATGGGAATATTTCTCGACATAAATAGGGTTATTTAAATACGTTCATTTATTATGCACTTCAACTTTTTGAAACCACGCAGTTGTTATGGATTTAAATTCAATACATTTGGACATTATTTAGGGATAATGCTAAAATTCTAAGTGCGAAATCACTTCACAAAAAATAAAATGTATTGGAAGCATTATGCGATATGAGAGCTTTATTTCTCCTAATATGTAGCGAGCTGGGAAATTATCACATGCACCGTGTACATTTTTATTGCCTGCATCATAATTGCATGACTGCCACGCATTCCAGCCTCGAATGTCCTGCGTGTTGCTGCTGCCGTGGAAACGAGGGTTTGATTGTTGTGTTACCCGTCGCTTTGTTTTGGCGAGTATGTGGACGCGCGTTCATCCAGAGAACGGCTAGCCAGACATCCTTGAACGTTGCCACGACGCAGGAAAGCTAAAATCTTCCGTGTCCGTGAAACCCTAGAGCAATCTATGCCCTCACCCACGTAGCGGGAACTCAAAGAGCTTAGCATTGAAAAACAATCCAAACGGAGATGTAAAAGCGGCTCAACGATACCAAGAATAATCAAGTGGGATGCTACAGCCCGGAAAGCCAGGCTGGTATGAACGCTTGCAACAAAACAGGTTTGGGCGTCAGACGCCTGCCGCCCGCACAGTTCTTCATCTCATCGTCATGTTGATGCTTCTAAATCTAAATCGACCATCAAAACTATCAAGAAGTTCAGGATAATCAGGAGTAATTCGCGTTGGTTTTATATTTATACCGTACGAGCTGATGATGATGCCCGTGCAAGATAAAGATCGTCAAAGCGACAAGCTGTATCGCGTCTGAAGCTTTCCTTTCACTGCCTGACCACGACTGACATGGACCGTGTACATTCGAAAAAATATAAGTCTTCCTATTAAATTTACTATGAAACTTCGTTGGCTATTCATCTGGGGTTAAGAACTTACGTTGAATAATTTCCAATGATAAATAAAAAAACATAATGCGTAGGAGAGACGCTTGCAGAATTATGTAATGTGTTGCATGTTTAAAATGGCGAACTGAGCAAAAAAAATGATCGCTTCATATTCTTGCCTCGCTTCTCAGTCATCAAAAATACACAAAAATATGATGTAAGTTAATGATAATGTGCAATATTTCTGTATATACTTACTTTACCTTGCACGGTAAGAGCATAACTACCTGTACGGAACAACGTCAGGAAATTTTCACAGGTCAGTTCATTTTTGGAAAAAAAATGTTAGCGAACAATCGTACTCACCGGCCTGAGCTTCACGCACGAGTGGAATCACGTATGACGATGAGCCACGAACAAAAAGACCCTCTAAGGTTCAGGTATGCACACCTGCACTCGATGGAAGGCGGCGTTTACCTGCGGGTGCTCACAACCCACCTGACCAACATGGCCAGGCAGGTGTATCGTTGCCAGATGTCGCTGTAAGTTGCCACACACTTTTACCTGACCAACATTGAAAACCATGATGTATTATTTGCTGGAAATTTGACGAAGATTCGAAATAATTTGGGTTTTTGCATGGATCGGTGTAGTCAAAAGAGTTTTATGATCAGCATTTAGCTGCAGGTAAAAAACATTAACTAGCCGTCCAATCAAAGGATTTTTTCGTGCGGAAGCGTTAACCCTTTCGATTGATCACTAATCTTGGAAGTGCTTCTTTCAACATAAAATTGTATAATATTTACAAATAACTTATAGCGGCATCCTCTTCTCACAAGTTAAATAAATATTAGAAGTTTGCTTAGTTTTCTACATTGTGAACGACCTCGCAAACGATATGCAAGCCAAGCTATAAGGTATGTATTTTTTGTCTTGTGTTGCGCATCAACAACAGGGTGGATGCTGCGCAGAACGCATGCGCAGAGCCTTCCAAAATGCACCGAAACAGACTCCGAGGACACTTGTACACGCAGCGAGCCATGGGAATACCTCCAATATTATGAAATTTTAATCAAAAAACAGGACTGGGAAACGAATTCCAATGAAGAATGGGGAAAAGGATGTAACTACGAGACTGGCTTGTCTCTCGTAAATGTTATTTGTAGGATTAATCAGTATATCTGGAATATTTGTACTCAACTAACAAATATATGTTGAGCAGTAATTTATTCATCTGAATTTAAGTGGCAAATAAATTTACCCAGTTTTATAACCTAATTGTTTATTTAGGAAATACGTAGGTGATGAATAGCTTAAAAAAACGTCCTCAACACATTATCGTCTCGTGTGAATGACAGGACTAAAACGAAAAAAACGTATACCTGCATAAAAATGTACAATTGCAACGAAAATTCGGCGCAGCCATGTCAAATTTTTTCTTTGTCAATGAATTATGTTTTAAGTGAATGCGTTACACGTACTTATTTTTCATGCACGATAAATTTGAGTTTACGTTTTGTATTTCCTGCAGTGAACAGTGCACTCAGTGCTGTTCAATTATCTCGTTTCTCAAATCCCAACTATTTCTAGTCATTCTGTACTTGGTTGGCTACTCATTTTAGGAATATATAGGAAAAATATAGGAAAAATATATCTTTTTAGTTTCCTGGTTAACCTAATATGTTTTAACGGAAAATCTGGCAAAAATTTTCCTTGCTATAAGGCGACCGGAAATTAAATTCGAACACAGAAGCCCTGATTGAGCAACAGAGTTTGAGTCTTGTCGAACTAAAGCCAGTTGCTAATCGGAAAGATGTATTATAATAATTTTTCACCATAGACATAATTAATAGATTTGTATTTGTTAAAAATCGCTGTGAATGAGATTTAAAATTGTGCTATAAGGTAGTGAAATAAGGTAGTTTTATGGACATTGAAACATTAGCCCAAGGTATAATAGTTGCTACTCTCTATCCCAGGGAAACCGTGATCGAATTTCACTTAGAGGTCCCTTCACATATGTAGCATCAGGACCACCTCGTGCCTCCAGTACTGCACATAAAGCCGTTAAAATGTGGCATTATCTGCATCGCAGTTCAAATTATAACAGGATTTCGAGAATAGAGAATCCATGTATTTTGACAATCCAGATTTTCCGCATCTGGTCATACCAAAATAGAGGCCATGAATTTTGACAATCCAGATTTTCCGCATCTGGTCCTACCAAATGAATCGTCCCATCACGAATTCAATCGTCCCGAACCCCATCATTCAGAATTAAATTTATCATTTCGAAAGTAAAACCTGTGATTAAAGAAATGCCCACTCAAAACCAAATGCTGGATCAAACTCCCGGTTCATTGCAGCTTTAGAATTGTTAAAAAGCTTGACCATTTGTTTTTTGAATAAAATGAACACTTGTCAGAATAAAAATTTTATTTCAATTGTTAACTTTGAGTCTCCCCTATATTTTTCAACGTAACAGAATTTCATCAATAAAGATGAAGTCTCTAGGCACATCCGGAACACGATATGTATTGTGCATAAGCGCCCGATCTGCCTACAAATATTTATTTTCGGTGACTGGCATCGAACCAACAAACATACAAACTTTGACATATTCATTTACATAAGACAATTCCAATGTAATTAGCACGTTTGTGAAAATTAATTAGCCTCCTGCCCGAATGGAATGGTGAGCAGCTGGGAACTCGAGAGTGGCATGTGGCGACGGTTTCAAATTGCGGTCAGATTATATATTGTGTTTTGCAGTAAACATTTTTCTGCGTAAAAATAACAACCTTATATCGTTCATGACCTCAAAAGTGTTCGCGTACTACATATACGGTCTTGGCGTACCACAGGTTGGGAACCACTGCTCATTCCAAACAGGCTGTGTCACTTCATTGGTATGAGTCTTGGGTAGCTCATGATTAAAATAAATTTTAAACAGGGATGCATATAATAGCCGGGTGACGAATCTTACTTAAATTTTTAATAAAAAGCTAAACCAAGAAGGTTAAATATAGCTTTTAAATGTAAGGGAAACTGTTACTTTGTTCTAATTATACGCAGCAGTTTTGAAAGCCCATCATTTGGAAAGGATCTAAAAACCTCTCTGCATAAATTTGCAGCCAGGGTCACAAATTAGACTTGAGGATTAGTGCGCCCCAGATGAGCTGAGATAAATATGAAGGTTTTCAAACAATGTCTTAATGCATTGGCTCTCATATTTCACTTCTCTGATTGATGTATTCAGATCTTCCAGTATACACCAAGACCAAGATAATGATTTGACTTTATAGCGACAATACGAGATCATTTAATGGTATCTTGGTTCAAATGATTCCTTTCTTATATTTAATAGTGTATATGAATCTATTTAAAACAGTTATTGACAGCACTTTATATATGATTTAATATAAAAATATATATATAATAAAGATATAACGAAAGAAAGTAAATTAAAGGGATTAGGCACTAGAAATTCAATAAAATAACACCAATGTTTTTCCTGTTTTATTATCTAAACAGACCTTCCTCTTTCATTGTTTAAATATTATCTTTGCTCTCACGGATCAATAAAATGAGTGAATAAAATTAAAATCCGTCAAATCAAATGAAGATTATTTTCTAGACATTGGCATTAGCTTACGGCGTGAACATACATAAGTTGACCCTTATAATAAGATTGGATAATAATAATCTTGTATCTTTTATAGCAATCTGAAACGAACTATTATAATAAGAGAATACCAAAGCCTGGAATATGGATACAATAATTTCTCTCGTGAATTTGAAATTCGTCAAGATTATCCGATCTCATTCATAAGAATTCATGTCCAATTACGAGTCATTTACGCTAAAATGTCCTTGTTTTTCAGTAGAAATTCGTGGGCATTTTTTCTGTAGTATTAAAAAGAAGCCTAAAAAACCCGTTATTAAATGAGAGAATGTAACGCATTTTTTTACGCCATGTTCCTGCCTCACTAATCGTTTTAGTCCAACACTTCAATTGTTGTGTGAACAAGTATGTGTGTATTAGGTGAGGAATACATAATTAATTCGTATTGTGCACATAAATTCATTAGTTAGAAAAGTTCTGGTTTTCATTTTTGAAGTTAAATACGATTGCCCAATTCATACATTTTGATGTATGCCAACCTAGGGCTCAATTATCATTTTCTGAATAATGCTGTCTGGAAAATATTAAAATTCTCGGATCACTAACGTGATAACAGGCAGCGTCCTTGACTAAACTCTTACAATTTTCACCCGTTGAAATTGTTAATCAATTGGTTTCTATGTTCCTTGGCACATTCATTCGGTACCTACTTAGGTTTGAGTATTTTTCGTGTAAATTTTGCTTTTACACTAAATTCCTATTGATCGCACTTATGATGCACAAACTTTTGTAGTCATGTACTAATGATGGAGCTAGTCGCCATAACGCTTTCAATAAAGACGTACCTAGCGAATTTGCCTGAAAATTTCTTAGCCTGCAAATTTCTTACTTTGTAGCAGATATTCAATGGACAAGAGAATATTGTCAGAGTTATTAATCCAAAATGTATCGAAATTGATACTCTAAGATGTATGAATACTGTGAAAGACGTCGCTTGATTATTACCCTGTACCATCCATGCTGACGTTCATTCATATACATTTTCTCAAAAAGAAAACAAAACTATGTGCTTGCATCGCGATCATGGTTAAAAATGTTTTGATATATTTCTTTAATTGCTCATTTCTTTACTCTCATTTTAAACTGGCATTTTAGCTTAATATCAGCACACGAAATGTTTGAAACGAGTTATCATGCTCAAAATTTAAATGCGTTCTCATGCCTCAGAGATGTAAAACAATCACGCTTAAAAATTGGAAGAATATACGTGTTTAATTTTTCAACTAAAGTACACAAATGAACAAAACTTAATAGAAATGCATAAGCAATCTTCAACCGTAAAAATATTAGGTCTTATATTTAATTAGTTTTGCAATGAAAAACTGACGAGGCCAAAATCGAATCAGGAGGAGTGATTCAACGAATCGAAATCAAATTTCAACTTAATTGACTCAACGGAAGCTACCAATTTGGCTGAATATGATGAGTATTACAGTTCTATAATTTTTCAGACATGAATGATACTCAAATTTTTTTCTCAATTAAACAATGCATAAAATTTTAAATTCAATAGGTTCTCTTCCTTGAACCTGTATTTGTTAATGAGATCAGCCTACCATGGAAATTGAATCTATTAAGTTATCATATTTTTAACGATTCATTACGAAAGAAGAACCACTGGCTCCAATTATCCTGTACTTATAATTTCAATACCTACATACTGTACGTTAATGCTTAGAGTATAAGTTCGGAATTGGTTGAAGTTACCCATGATAAATTTTCTATTTGAATCTAAGAGAAAATATGAAACTCTTGGGATATCCTTCTAAATTCTTAAATTAATTGTTGTACAGAGTACAGACTGGTAGATACATTTTTCTATCAATTATAGGTACATTCTTTCTACCCCTATCGTGATCAGGTTTGGGTGAAAAATCTCCTAAACCTATAAACTTATTAATTTCAAAGCGACATAAGTTCTGTTATAATTTCGCGAGTGTCAGTTCAGCCGCTTCTAAAATGTAATAGGTATTCGTAACTTTTTAAATCATCCTCGAAAGTTCTCCCAAAACTAAAAATGTATTCACTTTAAAGCGGTAAAATTCTGTTATAACTACACCGGTATCAGTTCAGCCGTTTCTAAAGTAGGTTTAGTATTCACAACTTTTTAAATTCATCCCAAAAGTTCTCTCAAACCTAGAAATTTATTCACTTTAAAGTGGTAAACAATCTGCTATAATTTCAGGAGTATCAGTTCAGCCGTTTCAAAAATAGAATTAGCATTCATAACTTTATAAATTCAATTCAAAAACATCCCAAACCTGGAATTTCATTCACTTTGAAGCGACAAAAAGTCATTTATAATTTCGCGAGTATCAGTTCAGCCGTTTCAAACGTATAACTAAAATATATTTAGTATTCATACTTTTTAAAGTCAACTCGAAATTTCTCCCAAACCCAGAAATTTATTCACTTTAATTCAAACGGTAAATGTCTGTTACAGTTTTAATAACACGAGTATCAGTTGAGCCGCTTCTAAAATAGTGGCCCGTATGCTAAATAGGGCATTAGCACTACGAAGGAGCACTATGCACTACAAAGTGTCCTGTTGGTATGCTAAATACGTCACAGACACTAAGCACTTCGAAGTAGCTCTACAATGTTTAGTGTCACTTAGTGTCGCACTACTGATTCGTATGCAGAAAGACTTTGAAATGCTACTTCGCTGTTAGAGTACTTTATAGTGCCGCACTACGCTATGAGTCTATTGAAGAATGGTATTTAAGTGCTCAAATAATTAATTATTCCCTAAGTAATTCTCATTCTTTGCAGAAGATTGATGTAAAATGTCTAATTGTGATGGTAATGGTACTAGTGAAAATTGTGATGTGAGCTGAAATTCGCAATGCGTCTGCGCACCCTTCCCATCATATATTCTAAGTCCACGCTTCCCAAAGACATCGAACAAAAGAGAGAAGCATGGAAAGTTCTTGCAGAAGAATTCAAAATGACTCCATAAAAAAACAAAAAAGAAAATTCAAAACATGGTATCAAAAACAAGAAAAGTATTTTTTACTTCTACGCTGTTCATCTGTTTCGCCAAGGAAAATGTCGGCCATAAGAATAACATGTTGTTCACTGAAGCGGTACACCTTTTTATATTCATGGCATGTAGTTCCTGAGGTTTTTACGCGATGATGCCTTTGCTGTAAGCCAAACAGATCCATAGCTGACGAAGTAAACAAGGTGAGATATACCGTAGTGTCGTCGTGAAGTGCGGTGTTTAGGACACTTCAGATTTTTGTAGTGCGCGTTATGCTTTTGGCCCTATTTAGCATACCAACCGTAGTGTTCCATGCCGCACTATGGCTTGTAGTGCGTAGTGCTACTTCATAGTGCTAGTGCCCTATTTAGCATACCAACCGTAGTGTTCCATGCCGCACTATGGCTTGTAGTGCGTAGTGCTACTTCATAGTGCTAGTGCCCTATTTAGCATTCCAACCGTAGTGTTCCATGCCGCACTATGGCTTGTAGTGCGTAGTGCTACTTCATAGTGCTAGTGCCCCATTTAGCATGCCAACCGTAGTGTTCCATGTCGCACTAGTACGGCACTACGGCTTGTAGTGCGTAGTGCTACTTCGTAGTGCTAGTGCCCTATTTGGCATACGGGCCAGTATTATCATTCATAACTTTTTAAATTCAACTCGAAAGTTCTCCCACGCCTGAAAATTTATTGACTTTAAAGCGTCAAAAAGTCTGTTATGTTTTTACGACTATCAGTTCAGTTGTTTCTAATATAGGATTACTATTCTAAACTTTATAAATTCATCTCGAAATTTCTCACAAACCTAAAAGTTTATTCACTTTAAAGCGGTAAAATTGTCTTTTAATTTTTATTGTTCCTGCCCTCCTAAGCCTTTAGTTAAACTTGTAAATCGTTAATGTCAATACAGCTCTATTACTTTAGTTTACTCGTGTTATGGATACGCGGGCCTAAGGAACGATAGACTAAGGAGAATCTGATTCCAAAACGAATATTAGGAGCTTTCAGTTGCCCAAAGCACCTATGCTCGCAATAGGCTACTCAGAATTAGTATCTCTGAAAGCAAATGGAGATATGAACACAACATCGAATTCAGAGTGGCATCTTGTAATGCTTTGCAAGACGTAAACAATGTTGCCACAAATGCAGGGATAATAAAACATCATGGTTTGACATGGTTTCAATTATATTATGCGACTACATTAATTTTGACATTTTGCTTTCATACTTTTTTGTCATTTCGAGTGATGAAAGTGAAACTGCATCGTTGTTTTCTCTTCTTCAACTTTGTATTGCTTGTAGTCATTAGTTTCGGTGTGTTCCACTTCTTCATTTGCTCATACTAACTCTAGCAATCATGTTTTTTTTAATAAATAACACTAACGACTGATAATGTATCCGCAGAGGATTTAAATGCAACAGCTTCAGTAGTGACTTCAATGTGGTGAAGAAATGCAATTTTGCACTGTTTTGTGGCGTGAAACTAACGGGATGAAAATCCCATTTGTACTATACGGAGAAGGATCAAAGAAGTTTGAGAGCCACTGCGTTATAGTAACTTCGTGCAATGGCCAGGATCTTCTCCATAGGATAGGGCTCAGTGTAACTTCTCGAGCGATACGGTAAGCTAGACCATTATTGAAATGTAAGCTTTGTTTTCATTCGTGTACACATGAACTCAGAGCAAAATGAAACTGTACATATTCGGAGTGAAAAGCAAGTTCACAAACAATTCAGACCGTAGAAATAGAGAGGGACTTAAGGCACAAGCTGGTTACTTTAGGTACTCAATAAGTTCTTCATCCAAGTTCAATTCCAACCAAGCGGTCACTTATAGTCTTGCTACTTGTCTTATGCTTTTTTATTATTTAGAACAGATTAGGTTCATTAGGTTTGGGAATCACAAGAAAAATTGGAGAAAAATATCGGCCTGAGAGTGTTGAGGAGCTCATCTAAACGACGTTGACAGTCTTGGCATGATGCAAGTAAAAATTAATCTTTCATCAGCTCTTGCATTCAACTCGAAGCATTTCAGTTTCTGCCGTCTCTTCCGCATTTACATTGCCACGAATCTGCAAGAAGTGCATGAATGTATCGCTGAAAAATTAGGTCCTTGACACATGTTACATAAACGTACCTATCATTAGTACCAAGCATCAATATAATATTGTAAGATTCTTGCCCTCATTAACCCTCTACCGCTTGACACGAGTAATCGGAGCAATATTATCAGAAGCCTACTCCCCAAAAAGGATACGTTGCTATTGAGCGTAAAATGACTTGCATCGATGGTTGCCGCCACGTACAGCTTTAAAATGTTCTCTGTTGCGTACAAACGTCCTCAGGTTGCTAGAGTAAATAGTTTACGTATATTTAAGTTGAAAGCTATGTTCCCGGAGAGTGACATACGGCGGTAGAGGGTTAAGATGAGAAATTTTAAAGTAGAAAATAGATTATTTCCCGACAAAGTTGCTCCTTCTCTTATAAATATGATTAACTTTAAATGAATGAAATGACAATCTTGGCCTGCTGTTCCCTTGAGCGCGACGCTACAAGAATAATGCCACATCATTATCAAAAGTCTTGTAACTGATCAGGTTTTAAATAATACTGCATAATTAGTTTTGAAATTCATTTCGGAAATTCATCTTATTATTACTAATTTCATAAGCAGACTTCATGTGCGCGACTTGCGTTAGCGAAATCACTCACGTCCGCGGCTGACTGATATATGACCTTTTTGATTCAATAAAGATTTCCATTAAATTCTACTTCTGTCATTCTGTCGTCAAAAACAGCTCCTATTTTAGCATAATAATAATAAGCACTCACGAAACTACAAAATTTTGAATTTCATATACTGTACTTTACACATACTCCTAGAATGAAAGGTAATTTAATATAGATACAGAGTAGCATTGACTTCACAAATGATATATCGAACAAAGTACTCTTGCAAACCTTTATGGATAAAGAGCAGACGAAGCAAAAAAGAACGATGGATATCGCTAGCTGGACGGCGACCTCGATGGCCCCGCCTGTGATGAAGAGCGTCCCCATCTTGTACTCGTCAGAGTCCCAATGCGCGTGGTCACGACGTCGTTCCCTCAACCAGGCGCCTATGAAGTAAGCGTTCATAAGGCAGATGGTCACCGATTTGACCAGCCAGCTCCATGCAAGTTTCGGTAGTCGCTGTGAATAATAAAACATATAACAGCGACAACATAATACGTCAAATTATCAAAACACTACGTAGAAGACCCAGGACTCCTGCACTGGCCTATGAGAAAACTGCCCTCATCTTTATTTTCAAACTTAATCATCTAATTATATCTATAAACATCCGTCGATGAGTAAGAAAATAAGAAAGCTACAAGGGCATATAACGGGAGACGTATAGGTATCACTTGTACGCACCCAGTACACATGGAAGATTATAAGCGGACATGCACATAAATTTAGAAAGTGAAAAATTCAGAATTATGACAAATCTCAATGAGAGAAAAAGAAAACTCTGCAGAAGACCTCATTCGAAAAACTGAGCTACGGACAGAGTTTAGACTTTTCGGGAAGGATTAAATTTTGGTGGGAGGATAAAGGCGACCTCAACGAGTAGAAGTAACCTCGAGTTCTTACACAGAGCGATTACGGCCTTCATCTCGACGATATTTTGACCTCAGAAAAGAGTGAAGTTATTTACTCGATGATTTAAGCGAGATTCCGCATCGCAAGGAAAGCGCAGTGTTGTTTGTACCCCGTACTAATATTCATGTGTCAGGGTCTAAATATTGTTTCAAGGTCAACGTTGGTGAGAAAAGGTCTATTGTGTCGTTAATGTTGACCTATTCTTTATTGGCAACCACCTCATCGATTCTAGCGAATGGCTCCATTTCCGACTGCCTCTAGATTAACTGATACATAGACCCTTTTTTTTATAGTAAAATGGTTATTTTTCATGATTTTTCACTCCTTGGTATCAGGAGGCGGCAGCATGAAAGATCGTTAAGAAATTACACTCAGCTCGAAGATGACACAGCTACTGCGTTAGTTTAGTTGAAATTATGTCCGGAGCATCGCCGCACAGGAAAAATATCAAGTGTACAAGGCTTAGCCGGAAGATTCGTGAGCGCAAATGACAGCCAGTGGCTGCGGTTGGCACGTAATACATTAAAACTGGAAAGTAAAATAACATTTAACAATTAATCCAGCCTCCCTAGACCTGTCGCGAACGTACGAAGTGAAGACAATAATGTGAATTAGGCTGAAACTTCACTATGAGCACTTCTTACTAAACAGAAAATGAACGCATGAGGCGCTGATATAAATTTTGTTATCAGCTTTCGACTATGAATCAGTAAAATAATGCTAATATTTCATTCGATAAATTTAGTATTTTGAAAACCAAACCTCACTTTCAAGAAGACAATGAGCAGCAAGGTTGAGAAGATGATGCTTACGATACCCTCCGTTAGGCCAATTTTAGTGCGGAGGCTGTGATCTGTGGAATTTTTTATTTGTAATTTAAGAAAATGAGTGGTTTTGAATTGTATGAGCTATTTCACGATTGCTTCTATTGTGCTCTGTGCAATTATGCATAATGCACAAAGGCTTCAGTTTATTCGGACGTAAATGGGCGAGTTCTAGTTGAATAAATCACCTCAATAAAAATTCTTCCTAAAAAAATTCTTTCCGTCCCAAATTCTTTCACGGCACGAGTTGAGTTTTCAGAATATAAGAAATTGTTTCCAACATACAACTAGCATGAACAGAAGGTGATCTCACTTGTTTCAAACACGTAGCAAGCATGAACAGCTGGTGATCTCATTTGTTTCAAACATGTTGCATGCATGAGCAGCAGGTTATCTTACTTGTTTCAAACATGTAGAAAGCATAGACGGCACGTAATAATAGCGGTTTCAACGTTTATTAGGCCGTAGGCCTGTCGCCGATTCTTAACATCACAGAACATTCACAGCTAGATGTGGTCTAGAACTCACAACTCACTGCTACAATTCTGCTGTGCTCAACAGCCCGGCCTCCTCGCCGATTTTGACCAGAAACTGGCGCACAGAGCTAGATCGAACCCGCACCTCTCTGCACCAATCCTGGTACTCTGAACTTTAACCACTGGGCCACCCTGCCTCACTGTCTCACACGTGCTCACACTTGTTTCAAACATGCAGCAAGCATGGGCAGCCCGTGCTCTCACTTGTTTGAAATAAGTAGAGCTTGCAGTCTCTAATGTAGTGAGCCCACGGGCAGTGGGAGTGATCGCTCTGGATCTTGCCGTAGAACCAAAGTACGTATACGCCGAACAACTGAAACGAAATAGAATGGAATTGGGGAGATATACACTTCTTATTCACAAATTATTCCGTATACTGAAGAAAATTAAATTTTGGATATTGTAGGGATCATATTCGGGATTTCTTAGAGTACTAGAAGAAGAAAGAGATCAGAGGAACCAATGTGTTGAATGGAGAATTAGGAGAGGAAGTTGACGTTCCCGCAGCAGTGTTTGGATTTATGCGGACTTGCCGTTGGGTTACACGTAAGGACTTGTGTGTAGAATTCAGCAACTGCGGAGGTACGGTTTGTCGTGTTTATATTCTAATGTCGTGTTTATATCCTAGTGTCTCAGTTGATACTGTACCTATTATTTCGTGTTGTTAGGGTTGTAGTAATATTGTGTTTGCTGATGTTCAATACTTAATTTTATTTGATATCGGTGTTAGGTCTTTAATGAATTGAATGTTAAATAGAACATATTCTTTACAGGGAGTCACCGTTCCCTACGCCTTGCCGCTCCTGTGCTCTTACTTTAATTCAATCTAGATTACTTAGGTTTATGTGAATTAATCAGCATCAATTAATAAAAAAGTTTATGAATCTGATTTTATTATGAACCTCGGCACGCAAGATCGCTACAAACATATTGGCCTAGTTTCGAACAACCTGCAGAATCCGGACCTGATTATGACTTATGGATGCACTACACCCAATGCAAAATGGATTAAAAAATAATATATACAAAATAAAACTGTAAATACTTCTTTTCATCTGAAAGTTGAAAGTTGAAAAAAACAATCTGATCTGTTCCTATAAGACAAAAAATCGATATCACATCATGCATACGGCAGCATACCATTGTATTTCTTACGTCAAAAATGTTAGATCAGATAGCCTATAAAGTTTAGCTAATTCAGCACTGCACATTTTTTCAAACTTTACGAGTCAGACAAAGCACTTACATTTCTACCGTCATGAATGAAGAAAAATCCAAACTTCACTAGTTCGTTCAGTCTGCACGTCAGTAAACTACCATTATCTCCTTCCTCTGAAGGAAGGAGATCCTTCCTTCCTCGCCTTCAGCGTCAATGCTAATCAAACACTCAATTTTTTTACAGCATACTCAAGTCGCCAATCTGATTATCAGGAAAAAATAAAAGTCGGCTGTAATTTCCAAGAGACATGTATTCGGTCATCTAATCTACGGTCCGCTATTAACAACAAAACGATAAAGTGCTCGATCGGGCATTTTTCTACCTCATTCCTCAATAACGAGATTTGCTACAGTTGGTACTAGCAAAACCAAACACTCAAGTCACCGGCCTTTCGCTCCATCCTTACCTGGCAGTTCTCAGCCCTCGTTTATTGTGGCATTTTGGACGTTACTGTTGGTACTCACGTAATCCATCACAGCGAGGACGGTTCCTCCGATGGTCTCGCACCGAAACGACTTCGGTATTTCCTTACCTGAAACAATTGAGTGTTAATTATTCCTCAGCTAGTAATGGATATTTCACGTACTTACAACTTGGTGGCCATTTTAATGCAATAGCGAATACATTGAAGCTCAGATCAAAATTAACAGATATTGCTATAAAAGTTACATGAATTGGGCTTTTGAAGTAAGATTTTACATATTCATTAAATCGGTGTTTGACGAATGTGGGGGTGAAAAACAGGTAGCGCCTTGCGAAGGTAAAGTTTCGACTCCAATTGGAAACTGCATGGGAATCAATGAGTTTATATCATCAATCAACGATTTCATAATAACAGTTGTGATAAACGAAAGAAGAAGAGATTTTGTCGGCTATAATGGCACGTTCTCTCTCTTTATCTACGTCTAAAGTTCGATGTAGCTCAAAACGTAGCACCCAGATGGAATTTAGAGAATTTATTTTTACCTTGGAAATTTAAAAAACAGATAATTTGCACTGAATTGCACATGCCGCCAGCATGCACGCAAATGCTCAATATAATCGAGATTGACAACATCGGAAGCGGCAAATTTGCAGCATGAATTTCATGCAGACAACAAATAATATCCCGCTGCGTATCCAGCATGGTATTACGTATTTCCTGTAAATTTTAAATTTAATTTCTTGATTCTACTAGTATTTTCTAAATTCTTGAATTGATGATGAAACTTTCCGAAACGTTTTCGATGAAGATATGATGCATTGATTTGAACTTTCAATTCAAGCTGACGACTAACAAGACAATAACCAATAAATGATTAATAATTTAACTCAATAAGTTTGAGGTTGAAAATTATTACGAGTAATATTACGAGTATGAGGCGGAAGGAAGAATATTTTAGACAAAAAGAAGACATCTATTCTGCATAGGCGGCATCACGCCTTTCCACTCTTAGTCCATAAGTCGCCTGCATGCTGTCGCCGTGTCTTCATAGTTGAGAAGATTTTTCATCAGTCACTGACAATGCAGTCATCACATGGTGAATTGAAATTGCTATAATCATCTAATAATTGCTCACAATTTGCTTTTCGAACCTCAGACTTCTTGGTTTCTAAGCCACACTTACGTTCAGGTAAGGCACCAGTGGATTGCAGAGCAGAATCCGGCTGAATCCCCACATTAGAGTCTGGAACAGCCTTCTCGAAGTCAACTCCCCAACTGGCCTTAAATTCCTCAATTCTTGCTCTGCTCGTGCTCGGCAGTTGCTCTTCACGTTGCTTCAAGTCATTCAGGAATACGTCAATATACTGGAGATTATCTTGTATGAAATTTTCCTCTTGCTCTTTAGTCAGTACAACTGCGCCCTCCGGAATCGCTGCTTCAGCCATGCTAGTGTGGCCGTTCGTCAACCAATAAACAAGAGATGCGGTCGCGGAGGAGTCTCCGTTCACTAGTCTCACTATTCATGTCCCTTCACTAGACCCTCGAATACTTATCTCTTAAAGCTATAAACAATTACGTTAAAACCAGTGCCATTTACGCTAAGGATGCATTAGAATAAAAGCCATTTCATCTTTGCGTTATTTAGCTAAGTGATAGGTCGGTCCCACGAGCAACACTGCCACAGTGTTAAATGATGTTAAATAATTTTATATTTTATAGAAAAAGATCTCTTCTGATGTAACTTTATTAATGAGTAAAAAAATATTGAGTATATAATAAACTTGATAAACAAACAACTATATGACTTGAGAACAAGTCGGGAAGACCGGAATATTACTGAGACTCCTGAAACAACAAATAAGCAGAAATAAATACATAGCAAAGAATTGAACTGACACGAACATCGTATTAACAATCGGCAAGATAAATATCTAACTACGAAAATGCTTCTAAAATCTTTACAGAAAATATACACGCATGACAAACGTATCAAACGACTCAAGACCTAATATTAATCAAGTAATCCACTTTTCTTATTATGTTTTCCTCTTTCACTCTTCTTTTCCCACTTTTTTAGTGAGCTGACTTTTTGCGTGGAAAACTGTGAAGGAAACTGGTAATTCGGGAAAAGCGTTGGCACATCTATGATTTATCTACGATTCTGGGTAATAAAAGCAGTGATAGGGGCGAATACAGGGAAATAAATTAATTGTCTACTCCAAAATACCTACTTTCTGTAGTACAGTATAAAAACTGTTTGATCTAAGCATATTAAAGGTCAAGTTAATAAAGCCAATAAACGACTTGGACTGATCAGACGCTCTTTCGAGTTCCTAGATGCAGAAGCGATGAAGCAGTTGTTTGTTTCTGTCGTGCGCCCGAACCTAGAGTTCGGAAACGTCGTGTGGTCACCGAAACTTGAAAAGGACAAAAATTTAATAGTGAGTGTTCAATTTAAAATGCCTAGCAAATTACGGACCAGGCAATAAGTCCAGCAGCTATCTCAATCAATCGTCAGTTATGGAAAGATCGGGTTCCAAAGGCTGGATCCCTTGTGAATCAAGTCACGAAAAATTTAAGAATAGGCAACAGGCCATGGGCCTATTTCTTCAGTACCGACACTTTTATTCTATTCTATTGTAGGTATACGTTGAAAAAACTGCTTGAAACGTCAAAAAATGTCGATTCTAAATTACGATCTCCAGAATAATTAGTCAAGTTTGTACATTTAATGACTGCAATTTAAACTCACTATTTTTATTGCAAGCTTACCCTCGAGTGAGGCTCGAGAGAAGACGAAGATGAATGGTAGATTTGAAAAGTTCAAACTTTGGCGAAGCCGGGAGCATCACCACACTGTCCACGTTCACTTAACTACATTTATCGTAGTTTCAAGATACTGACAGTGATATCTAAAAGATGAAGCATGGCTTCTGATGAGTTTGTAGATTCCGCAAACTGCTGAAAATATACTAAGACCCGACGTGGGCACGGCAACGCTATAAGAACCGAGGAATGAGGATGATTGAAGGTGACGAAATCGAGGAACGGTATACGTACGTACTCGAGCTTTGGATGAACACTGTCGCGATCGCGATTCGCGAATCGCGAGGACTCAGTCCCACCACCAACATTCCCCTCCGCGAGGCTTCGCACACAGCCCCACCTAGTGGCTGAAAAGCAATTACGCATGATTTGAAAGCCACTTATTATCCATTTTTGATCGTTTAAGACTTTAAGTCATAGTATCGATGTTTGGAGTGTACATGTTGTTAGTAGATGAATATGAAAGACAAATCCAAAAAGGAAAAATTATTATTGGCTTTATTTTTCACGTTCAACTAATTTAATAAATGGGATAATACATATTCAATATAATCGAGATTGACAACAACTGAAGCAGCATATTTGCAGCACGAATTGCATACAGATTTCAATTAGTATCCTGCTACGTATCAAGCAAGGAATTAGATTTCCGGTACAAATTCCTTGCACGTACTACTCTACAACCGTGAAAACTAAGCCTTCAAATACTTCTACATATTTGCACCTTGCGCTCTTGCACCCGTACAACTTCTGCACAAATTCCTCAAAGAACCTAATGTTCAATCATCGTCCAATTTTTATCCTATCGCGGAAACATCTTTAACAATTGGCGCAACACCTTTTTTAGGGACAAGGTATTTCCAAAGTTTTGCCGTAATAAGTTCTTCCAGTGTAAATTCGTTCTCATTTCCTCATTCTGAATATTGGAACAGAAGCGAAATTACCTATTGATTAGAGATCAACAGAGTCAGGTGTACAAAGCAGTTTAATTTACACAATTTACATAATCATGCATCCAGGAAAATGTTATAAGTGATAACATGGTAGATGTGACATAATATAACACTGAATCGATACTTTCAGTTAATATAACTGCCAAATTCAGTATCGCCCGTGCATGAGAAATGAGTAATGATCAAAGCAGGATCTATAGTGGTTATGGCTTGGCCCTTTTTTGATCGTTTCTCAGAAACGTCTTCAATGGGATTATGAAGAAAAATTTAGGGCACTTTCTCTGATTATAAATTCTCGCTTAATATACGAACAATAAACAAGTGATTTTATTACAACTTTTTAACTTCCGGTACAAATTTCTTGCACCTAATAGTCTACGGTAACGGTACAACCGTAAAAACTCAGCCTTGTTCCCTCTTTTTGCACCTTGCGCTCTCTGTCTTAATTCACTCTCTTAGAATCGAATATGAAAGAAAAACTTTTCATGCGCATAATAAATGAAACATCCGTGATACGAACTCCATCATAGCCTCATCACTTCACGGGGTTGTCGTGTTGATTTCGTCAGTCACCCCAGAAGTTGCGGACGCTCTCTTAAATGCATGAGAAAACGACAGAAGAGAAAACTTGATGCGCGGTGCCTTGCAGGCGTCCCTAATATTTGTGTAGCTGCCAACTGCCAAGTATGGATGACCAAGCACCGTTCATGCCGTGCCCCAGCTTTGACACTGCAGCCATGCCAAAAATTTGAGAATTCTGGTGTCTATAATAAAAGTTTAAAAAAATCGTCAGTTTTGGACACGTTACGGAAATAACATAAGTAAACCGCGCAACTAATGGTGACTTTGCAGCAGTTGCTGGTCAGAGAAAGGCCAAGTTGAACGCGTAACCCGAAGTCGCCTTCCAGGTACGAGGCGCGCAACTCCAGTCGCAACAAGGAGCTGAGCTGTGTGGGTTGCCGTGCATTGCTGCATTAGTGTATTTCGCTCACAAGTACTTACATATTTGGATTAAAGTTAGAATTGTAACTGCCTGCCATTTAAATATTTTCTCGAGTGTATGGGGTATGCAGGAGTGTGAGAAGAGTGGAGTGTTGGTGCCACATTCGTTTCGATGAAAAAAACTCAATTTCATAAACAAGACCACACGAGCTATTCGTGTATCCCCTGGCATTTACTCGACGATGAATGCGAAAAGAAGTTTGAACGCGCGTAATGGTGATATTCTGTTGGAAAGCTACTCACTAGGATTAATAGGTCAGAGAAGGTCAAGTGCTTGAAGTACGGTTAAAGAGTGACGAGTTCGTGACAGAAATTAACCATACGACATATTCATAGTCTTGTGCTAAGCACAAAGTCTTCAGTTTTTTCATAATAACAATTCAAGTTTTCTTGACATTTACGCTCGCATGTAATATGACATTTTGGTGAAGGCTCATCATATTTTTTTACGTTCTAAATCGGGTTTCTTTTTTAATGCGTTATCCACATATTATGCCAATATATCATGCTTCATTTGGGTCATGTCTTTAGAAACTCAATTTCCGTGGGGTTGAAATTCTGAATAAATTTCACTTTCGAGGTAGTTATTTGGTAGTTATATACGCGGTGTTGCGTATTGTGATTTAACAAGGTTCCTGCTTCAATTTGTAGAAAAAGGCATTGATAAATATATTTTCTATAATCGAAAAATTTCCGATTTTTGTCTTTTACTGAAAGACTCCTCAGTAACTTCTGCAGGGTGGGATAATTTTTGTAGTAAATTTACGAAAAGTTTCCTACATTTACACTCCTAAGCATGTCATTTTATTAACTTTCCCCAATTTCAGGATGGAATCTGTGAATATTGTATGATAGTTGTTGTTAGTTTCTGGAACAATTAAATAACGGTCATGTCGGAGAAATTACTTTGATGTTTGCAAGTTGAAATTACACGAGAGTTGAAGATGTCACAAGGAGGACTGCGACCCAACGTCTCGGTCACCAGCTTCGAGGAGTTGGAACTGAAGGAACCAACGCCTAGCATTGCTGCCAGCCTCTACGAGGTGAGTTGCATTTTGTACTTTTCCCAAACCTTCATGTCGTTATAAGTTTGCGTAAACCACTAATTACCCTAGAATATAAAGGAAAATAAAGCTAAGTAGATTTGCCGTACTCTCATTGAAAGCGTTTCGTATAATTTTTGAAGATTAATCTTGTTTCTGAAACGAGTTCAATGGAAAGATTGAAAATTGTTTTGGCACTTTCTGTGTTTTTTAATTCTAAACCTGTGGATTGCGCACTGAAATACGTTGATAATTGTATGCAAACTGGACTAGAAATTATTCAAAATTTAAATGAAATTATTTGCTCTGCTGTTAGTCGATCTTGCGGCAGGTTTAATTAACATCCAGTCTACATAGAGGATCGTCGAAATCAACAAAAGCGAATGTTCCAAAATTCAGTACATTTTAAATGAATTCACAGACCACGTTTGCTATTATATCAGTGTCATAGTCTATGTTCATTCATTCATTCATAATTTATTCAGTCGCTGAAGGAGCTTGACTGAAATTTCGTTACATAGCTAGGTCTGCCGCCATGCTCAAGTTTATATTCTTCAGCTGAAATTTGTCTAGAATATTTATTTATTCATTTCTTAATACGCATTTTACATAAGTCGTTCTTGGATAAATCTCAGCGGTTGCAAACAACTAACGAGTGAATTTATGAAGTGAACCAGAAAGATTAAAAACGTTTCTTCTTAACCAAACAAGTATAATAGTTTACGAATATTTACCAGCAATTCATGAAGTACCATCGATCACATTCATCTGGGAGAAAATTAATGTCGCACCAATGCAGAAACCATTCACCACCGGAACGTTCGCTATTTCTCGCTCGCTAGACTGATTAATGTTAATCCGAGACTGATTAATGTTAATCGGCGAAAAGGATAGTGATCAGTAAAATGGATTAATTTTAATCATAACGTGATTTATTATTGATCGTTAAACTGGAGTAAGTCTAATCGTTAGGTCGGAGTAATGCTAATCGTTACGAATAATTAATTTGTATAAATAAGCC